AGAAATTATAAGAAAAAAGAGTAAAAATAAAGATAAACTAAAATAGAAAAGTAAGAAAAAAGTTATAAGAAAATGAAACGAAAAAGTAAGAAAAATGAAAATTGAAAGAATAAATTAGAACTAAAAATAAAAATAAAAATGGAAAAGTCCGAAAAGAGAAAATGCAAAAAAAAAAGAAAAAAAAAGAAAGGAAAAATCTGAAGAAAAAAAGAAAGAAAAAAGGATAAAGAAGTAACAAAACAAGAAAAAGAGAAAAATAAAAAAAGGAAAAAATAGACATTAAAACATAGTCAAAGAAAAACTAAACAATTTTATTGTGAGTTGCCAGAGAATTTTTGCAAAAAATAGTACAAATGTTGCAAAACAGAAGGCAGCAACGGAAAAGAAGCCGCACTTTTTGACAGAGATTCATGACAGTTCTAGATGTCGACATTAGTTTTATTCCATGTATGATGACAGTCATGACACTAATAAGCGGAGCAACATGAGAAGGAAAAATTAGTTGCAACAATAACAACATTTATAAATCACATTAATGATAGGAATAACGTAATTAAAATGAACTTGACTGTAAGTTATTATAGTCGTAGACTGAGCACACGTAACTTTATCATCATGATTACATGTAAGAATAATGATATACTGAAAATTACCACTAGTTTAAGCATTACCTTTCTGACAACAACCATTTTGAAGACAAGAATGGTAATAACAAAATTGGCACTAATCGCAGCAGCAGCATTGGGAGAATGGAAAAGATATTAATTAAAGATCAGGAAAATAAAGATGATACCCATAATGATAATGATAAGTGTTATGGCAGTGATGGTAATGATGAATAAAACATAAAACAATTATAAACATAATAGCATTAATGTCACCGAGATCATAGTCATAAAAATAAATATGCAGATAATGATTTCCATGAAAATTATTACCCGTCTTGTTACTCAGAAGAACAAGAACAATGAAACCAACATCAAATAATAGTTATTAATAGCAGGCAATAATAGCAAAATCGGATAAAAGCAAAAAGAAGATATTACGGCAAGTATTACCTACTTTCTCTTTTCTTCTTTTATCTGTTAAATACAAATCCCGATTTTTTTTCTTCTACTTTTCCCCTGTATCTTCAGTTTCCAAATACTTTTCATAAAAATTAATGTCGCTGGTTCCGTTTTCTATACAACTTGTTAAACGTCTAACCTTGTTAAGAAAACGGTGTTGCTTAAATACCCAAATGCGGGCACCCGGATGGCGTTACGTGACCCATTGTCTGCCGATAGCATTAGGACCTTCACTCCATTTCTCTTCCTCTTTTTATTTATTTATTTATCTATCAATCTCTTTCTCTTCCTTTTTCTTTCTCTCTTTCTCTTCCTTTCTCTTTCTTTCACTCTTTCTCTTCCTCTTTTTCTTTCTCTTTTTTCCTTTCTCTCTCTCTCTCGCGCGCTCTCGCTCTTTCTCATTGTCTTTGTCTTCCTCTTTTTCTTTCTCTCTCCATCTCTACGTGACCTAGTATTTGTCGATAGAGATAGTACATTCAGTCTTTTTTCTTTCCCTTCTCTCTCGCACTCACTCACTCACTCACTCACTCACTCACTCACTCTCTCTCTCTCTCACACACACATGCATATATAAACATTCCCTCCTCTACCCTCCTCTCTTCTTCTCTCAGGAACTACATAATCACTTATTCCACAACGCCTGATATAAAGACAAGACTGACACAAGACTGACAAAGCTTGGCTCAGTCTGACAATGTAATCCCATTTCAAGACAACATGGCTCCGAGTGACTGGACAGCAGATACAGTCCATGAATAAAAAATAATAATTATAGATATATGGCTATGCGTGTATACATATGCATATGGAGATATAAAGAGAGAGAGAGAGACAGAGAGAGAGAGAGAGAGAGAGAGAGAGAGAGAGAGAGAGAGAGAGAGAGAGAGAGAGAGAGAGAGAGAGAGAGAGAGAGAGAGAGAGAGACAGACAGACAGACAGACAGGGAGAGAGAGAGAGAGAGAGACAGAAGGAGCGACAGAGAGAGAAAGACAAAGAAACAGAAAAAAATACACAGAAGGAGGAAACACCAATACCTGAAAAAGGAGATACAAGAGAATAGATAAGCAAAAAGCAACAAACAAGGAAGAAGAGAGAATGAACAGAGACACGAATTTAGACCAAAGACCTTCGACTAAAAAGACAGAGAAAGTCGACTTATTAATATTCGTAACCAAACACACACTGGCGTAAGTACTTTGAAACACATCTATATGAAGAGCGCTGGAAACATTGCAAAATGCGCAACTCGTATAAATTTTGTCCCAAAGGATCTAAATTCATGTAGATTCCGTCTCAGATATATCCAAATTCATTGAAATTCAGTCCAATATATATATAAAAAAATCATGTATTCTCTGTTTTAAATATATCTAATTTCATTAAATCTATCACAAATACATAAAAAATATTCTTAGTTCTCAGCCAAACATATC